GGGGCAACCTTTGTATTCTCTCGATCGTGATTGACTGCCTTAGGTGAAACAGTGTTACTTCTTTAACAATTCTTTGCCTAAAAATATAGTTGATTTTTTTTTTTTCTCAGTATGCAAATTTTGTTTTCTTAAAAACAATTTTATCTTATTTTATTTCATTTCCCATTCAAGCTGTCACCACTGATACCACCTTTTATTATTGCATCATGGTGTTGTAATATAGAATTGGACCGAATAGGCTTATACGATGTTCGCTAAATAAATCGTGAACTACCCTGTTTCCATGCCCCACATTAGGTTCTTTCCTAACACAACTCATTTACACACGGCGATTTTTGTTGCCGCAACTCGACGTTTGTTGGAGAGAGCGTGACGAAGAAAGGAGAGGGGCACCGGAAAAGTTTGCTCTCAAAAATGGATCATAATCCAGAAGTACCAAAGAAGTGTGGCGAGTGAGTCTAGAAGGTTTGAAAGAGGAATTCGCCGCAAAATAGATTTTGCGGCGACAAAGGACGTTGAAGAAAAAGAGTGAGCGATGATAGAAATAAAGAAATGAAATAACAAAAAAGATGGCCGCGACTCTCCGTTTATTTGCCATCGGCATTCAACATACGCATTACCTTTCTTGATAGAATCTCAACTATTCTCAACTTTCTTAACTTTAATTACATAAATGCCTGGCATCCCTTTTATTGCTCTTCACCCCTTTTCTTTCCGATATTTGGCAACGCGGTTATTTACGTGTGTGGGTTGGTATAAGATGGACGCAAATGTGTGCGTGCATTTGAGGCCGATGGCTTTCACCTTTGTTTTGAATTTATTAGTTCTTAAATAAATTTAGAAATATATATAGTGCTTGATATTTATCGACCTTTTATATGTTAAACTATCAGTGATAATTGCAAAGTCCAATTCTATACAGTTGCGTAGTAACGTAGCCTACATGATGCCCATTTACACGTATGAGCGTCCATGTGCAGTACGCTTGTGTGCGTTCATAAAATCTTGATGAAAGTATATAAAGACCGTCATTTCACCAACAGATTCGGCTTCGTGTTGTGTTGCGCGAAGTCTTTTTCTGGTGCATTTGGAGTCCATGTGGGTTGCTAGAAGAACGGAAAAACCATGCGCTAGGACAATATGCATTCAAACCGATAAGCACTACCCCCATGGGGGGCAAAGGATACTTTTAAAATTCTTTGCTTTGTCACAGCAGGGCCGTATCTATAGTGCAAGACGGCAATTGCCTACGTGTTAGCGACCATTTGGCGTTTATGGGAGCGTGAGCAGGATAGATAGTTTATTGAGAAGGTGGAAACTGTCAAAACAGGCAATTTTTGCGACAGTAGTGGGAATTTCTTGACACGACTTTCGACGAATCATTCGAAAAGTGCGATTTTATGTGAACAGACGTTGGGAATATTTTGTGGGTTGATGTTGAGTTTATAATTAAAAATAAGTAATTAACTCAGTTAGAAGCAGTTGTACACCACTCCCGATTCGGCTATAATTATACGTACTATAAAAATAGTGAAATCGATTCCGCATATTGAATGTTTTTTTTTTTTTTTTGGATCTTGTAACTTGTGCTCTCGTGACGTTCCGGTCGTAACCCCACCACAACCATCGTACATTTGTACGCACAAATCTGCCGTGCCAAGTAGCTCGCGAAACGTATTTGGTGGCTACGGTCGACGCCACTATATGCACACTTGTACTTGCTACTTATCAAGTGGTTTGTCTTTTCAGCTGAAGCACCACTTTTATTGTTTTATTTAAACTTTGGGCTAGTCTTATTTTGTTAGTAAAGTCAGACAACAGCCTCAAACTGGCGGAGAGGAAGGTGGCACTGACACTGTGCCAGACGTCTGTGGTAAGTTTGCTTAATTTTGGGTTAACATCTACTGTTGCTTTTAAATACCGTGATGTTGTGATTGGGTCATTGCTGTTCAGCTTATACATAAATAGATACATGTGTGTAGGGAAATTGCAGTGTGAGTTTATGCAGGTATTCTTCTCTTAAATAACAATAACCAATCTTTAAGTCATTCTCCAAATATTTTTAAATTGATTGTCAAGGGATTGTTATGCTAAAATATTTACTTTCTGCGAACAGTAAAGGATATTTGTTGCAGGTACGTTTTTTATGGCACCACTTAGGCAGTTGAGTCCATATGCTGCAAAAGACTGTTGAGCACAACCTCTTCGTCACCCCTCTGCATACCTTTATAGGACGATTTAATAACGACTGCATAAGTATACCCTGGCGTTTTTACGATTTTATTTATTTACATATACCAAATTTCTCTTATTTATTTTTTATAAAAATACATATGTACATAGGTATCGTCGTTTAAAGTACTACACCGCGTATCGTCTTTCTGCAAAACCGCGTAACTGTCATTTTTTGTCAAAAATTGGATTTGCTCACCGAAGCTCTTGGCTCAAGCCTTATCAATTCGTCCTCAAATATACTAGCCAGAAATGCGATTGCTTTATAAAAGAGAGAACCATTTTGAAATATGAAAGTTTTTACTGTCTACAAAATAATTTATGCAATCTCACATACGCGGTTTTGCATTATCATGATACGTGGTTTTGTACTTCAAACGATGATATACATATTTAATTAATGGCGGCCGCTGTTGGGTAGTGGTTAGTTACCATTCCGCAGGGCCTGGGTTCAGCCCCGGTTTCCAAACAATACGAAAGGAAGCATGGAAAAACGCGCTGAATCGATTCTTGATTTGGGTATCGACTTCCATGTTTTCATTTTCGAACGTCTGCAACAATGTTTATTGGGGCAAGAAATACTTTTTGTTCACACAAACTTTAAAATAAAACAGTTCGACGGCTGAGTGAAAGATTGTCCTAAATATCTCGGCAGCCGGCTAGAAAGCGGCCTTTCTCATTATTTGGTTGAAAAACGCTCTACCTCTGAATTTGCATCAAGAATGCCCTATCTCAACTGAAAATATGTATATGTTGATATAGGGAATTTTTGAGGTAGCAGCGGAGATAGGGCATTTTTGAACCGAACTCTGAAATTGGGGGGTTTTCAAGGAAATTATGAAATAGGCCGTTCTTGATACCTGGATAGGTATTCTATCGGAATCTGCAATAAAATTTAAATTCTTGCAAAAACTCGATGTTTAACAACTTACTAAAAATATCTCAATATAAGTTTTGGAATACAAATTACAAAAAATTGTTGATTCTCACAAAATGCACCATCTCGTCACAAAGAAAATCATTTTAAAAATAGTGCTTGAAAACCCCCCATTTTTTAACCACGTTTTACTGGTCTTTTCTATGCAAATCAACTTCAAAAAGCTGAACTGTTAATAGCTAAGTTAGCTTTAGGACAATCTTGCCCATTTTATATATAAAAATATTAATCCGAATTATTTAGCTTTAAAACGACGTTAAGATGAAGACTCTACGATGACCAGAACCCGAGATACATATAACGATTTGAAAGAGTACATGATTAGTCAGAATCACGAAAAAATTGATACTTTGACAGATCATATCTCCAAAGAAAAAAGCGAAAAAAAAATTCCTTGAACACGTGTTAGCTTATTTCATTTAGAGAACCCAAAAAAAATTTGAAGCCAATCGAAAGTGTGACACCAAATTTGGTGTCCGATATGAAAAAGAACGTCTCATATGTATACATGCAACTGCTTTTGCGTAAGGTTACATTTTTTGTCTTTTTTGTATCTAGATCGCTAACAATATCGATAGCAACATCCAACAAAATAACGATTACAAATTCGATAAAAATTTTCGATAGCAAAATCGATAGTAAGATTGATAGCAAAATCGATTGGAAAATCGATAAAAATATCTAACAAAATCGAAAATAATATCGATAACACAATCGATAAGTAATCGTTAACAAAGTCAATAAAAAATATAGATATAAAAATCGATAAATAATCGATAAAAAAATTGATAACAAAGTCCCAGATTGAGTCTCTGTGTCTATCTACATCCTTTTCTCTATAATTACCTTTATTTTAATCTTTCTTCGTCTATCTTCATCTTTACTTTTAGCGGTATCCTCATCCTCATTGTCATCTTTTTCTTTATATTTGTCTTTGTTTTTACCTTTATATTTACCATTTCCTTCATTTACATACATATTCCCCTTTTCCCTTTCCCCTTTCCCCCCCCCCCCCCCCCCCCCNATAAAAATCGATAAATAATCGATAAAAAAATTGATAACAAAGTCCCAGATTGAGTCTCTGTGTCTATCTACATCCTTTTCTCTATAATTACCTTTATTTTAATCTTTCTTCGTCTATCTTCATCTTTACTTTTAGCGGTATCCTCATCCTCATTGTCATCTTTTTCTTTATATTTGTCTTTGTTTTTACCTTTATATTTACCATTTCCTTCATTTACATACATATTCCCCTTTTCCCTATCCCCCCCCCCGTGTTTAACATAAAACAAGGTAGACTTCCAGAATATCGTGAGTGATATCCTACGATATAGTAGTGAAACCCATTCATATTTACTCAGGGAAAATAGTAGCTTCAGGCTGCCGCGGTATAAAACGGAAATAGATAAGAAGAATACCTTTTATAAGGGATTAAAATGTTGCAATGAATTTCCAGCTCAAATAAAAAATTGAGAAAACGTTGGTACATTCAAAAGGCAGCTGCACATTGGCTATTAGATAGAAAGGTCCGGCATGGAAACTAGTCCCTTCCATCCGTACTAACAGGGTGACTGGATCCCGTTCATTCAGATTGCCCATAATGTATGAAATAGAAAGGTCGGCATGGAAACTAGTCCTTTCCCTCCGATCAAATTGCGTGACTCTGGATCTCGTCCATTCAGATCGCCTGCCCGTAGAGAAGTGTATAAGAGGCGGCTTGGAAACTAGTCCTTTCAACCGCCCAGTTGTGGCGGCTCTAGAAATAACACTCTAGATCGTATGTCCTACACGTGATATATTTACGGTACTGCTTGGAATCACGTCCATTCCAACAGCATCGAGAATATGCTATCTTAGTTACTTATACATATACTATGTATTTTATGGCTTAGAAGGAAAATTGTAACAGGTTAACTTATATTAAGCTTTACTTTTACTTTTTTTATTAATTATTGATTTTGCAATACATATTACAAATGTATATAGGTCAAATGACTGTAATAAATAAATAAATAATTACCTAAGGAATTGTCCAATGGGAATTATTGCCATTTGTTTTTGAAGTCCTTATACATAAATACATGTGCATGTATGTAGACATGTGCGTACATAATTACATAACTTGTTGGCCTAAATTTTTTGATTAACTGAAATTACTATTCATACTCAATTGGTTTAATGTTTATTTATTTACTACTGCCATCTGACCTGCATACACTTTTAGATTTCCCATAAGAATAACACACGAAATTTTATTTTTTTTTTTACTTCTGATTTTTATATTTAAAGCACGATACGTTTTACTGTAAAGGTCTTGAAGTTTAGTTGTAGAGAATTGAACGCTTTACGAAAAAGGTCTAAAGTCATTTTTCGATAAGTCAACTCGGTCAAAAGTTATTAGAGGTCAAAGTCGAACTCATGGTTTTAGGCGATATTTGAGGTTAGTTTGCGATTTGACCTTTTTTGCTCGTGATATACCAGTTTTAATGTGCAGTACTTCTGTATTACTTCGTAGCTATGAAATCGAAAAGTGCGAAGCGGATATTCTTAATATTAATATAATATTTCTGAGACTTATTTTGGCGTCTAATCGAAACTTCTGAGCATGGCTCCGAGAGAAAAAAAACACATTTTTTTCTGAATCTCCCTAATGTAAAAAGTAAAATTAAACCTTAATATAAGTTAACCTTTTGCAATATTGCTCTAAGCTATAAGATGGTTTATGTATAATTAACTAAGAATAGCATATTCTCGATGTTGTTGAAATACCGTAAATATATCAGGTGTAGGGCATGCGTCCAGAGCCGCAACCACTGGGCGGTTTGAAAGGACTCGTTTCTAGGCCTAGCCTTTCTATTCATTAGCCAACGTTATGCAGTGCTTAAGTAGCATCCTCTTGAAGGTACCAACGTTTTCACAATTTTTTATAACTTTTTTATCCCTCTTAAAAGATATTCTTCAGCCTGAAGCTATTATTTTCCCTGAGTAAATATGCATTGGTTTCACTACTATATCGTAGGATATCACACAAATAATCTGGAAGTGTACTTCGCTTTATTATGTTATTTATCAAAATAAAATGCAAGTTTACAAATCGGTAAAAATTACCGTCAATTTTTAGTTTTTTTTTATGTATAAAAATAGAATTTCATCACGTGTGGAAGAAAAATAAATAAATAAACATAAGTTGCAAACGATATCATTTTGAATTTTGGTGCTAAATCTCTGATCATGGCTGTAGTGGGTCATTCCACGTAAAAGAGAAACACGAAATAAATTTGACTAAATGACTAAAAATGACTAAATTTATTTAAACCACCCGCTAGGACCTTTCCCACCATTCACAATTTTAAATATTTCTTTGAGGATTACATACATACATACAGGATGTCCAAGACCACCCGTCTACCCCTTTTTTAAAAAGAAGGAAAGTGTTTTTTATTGGAAAACGCAGGAATATAAATAGACCACCAAGTCAAGGATGCTCCTATCTTTTGGTCATATTACTTACTTCCGGTTTCGACCGAAAGTGTGGATTAAACGGTCCGGAAGTCCATTTGTAAATAGGATATTCTTCTTTTACACCAAATTCGGATTCTGCGCATAAAAAAATTTTACGTTTATTAGAAACCTTTTCATCGGAAGTGCCTTTTTCAACCTTTAAGTTATCTTTGAACTTCATTTGGAACAGTTCGTTTTGTCCT